TCTATGTAATTATGAAATCATTTAAGATTTTAGAAACTTAAAAAGCAGATTTCCAGGTACCTGAAGATAACAGCAGATGTCTAAATCTGTGCTATCCATATGTCCTGTAAAATACTACAGAAAAGCAGAGAATAAAGTCACACGAAACCACATTCTTTCCATAAGGCAAAAAATGCCCAAACTTCAAAGCATTTGTAAGTAAAAAGAGGAAAATAATTCTAAATCCCAGCAAGTTACTACTTATGCTCCTGCCAGAAAGTCTTTGCAGTGAGCATGGGCTCACTCCATGTAAATGAACTTGACTCATACATTAAAATAAAAAGATCCCTAAGGGGTTCCATAGCAAGACCCAACTACATGCTACACATACAAGACACATTTAAAAAAAAACAAAATGATTCAGAAAGACTAAAAATAAGGGGATGAACAAAGGCATACCCGGCAAATGGAAACAATAAGAAAACAGGAATAATGATATCAATGTGGAATTCAAGCAAATTACATTAAATGACAAAAGCAAAGCACTTTTAAAATGCTAAAAACCACAATTCACAATTAAGATTGTAACTATTATAATCATCTATATGCCAAATAATACAGCCATCATCTTTTTGAAGAAATCCACAAGAAATGCAAAGAGTCACAGACAGAAACATGCTAATAATAATAATAGGAGACTTAACGCCTACAATTGAACACTTTCTTTTCTAGTTCTTACCTAGCAGTAACAAAAACTGATGTATTACAGATGCAAAGCGAAGTGTAAAATTTAAAAAGACTCACTTTAGAGCTCCTTTAAAGCTCACTTTAGAGCATGTTCAGTGTTGACATAGAAGAATGTCTCCTTAAATTTTTTACCCTGGGTGTCTCACTTGCTTAACCCTAGTCCTGGGCTTAATAATATTAGGTCACACACACAAAAATTAGTGCATCCCATAAAATAGAAATAATAGAAACAATACTTTCTGATTACAATGCACTAAAACTATAAATTAACAAAATAAAAAAATAAAAAGGCCTCCTACCTGGAAATTCAAAAACCTTCTGTTATGGATTGAGCTACGTCTCCCCAAAATTTGTATGTTGAAGTCTCAACCACTGTACTTTAGAAAGGGATTGCATTTGGAAACAGGACCTTTAAAGAGGTACCTAAGGTTAAATAAAGCTATCTGGGTGAGTCCTAATCCGTATGACTGGTATCCTCATAAGAAGAGGGAAAGGTATTAGAAACACAGGCACACAGAGTAAAGGCCATATGGGGACAGAGCAAGAAAGTAACCATCTATAAGCCTAAGACAAAAGAGGCCTCAGGAGAAACCAAATCTGACACCACCCTGAGATCTCAAACTTCTAGTGTCCAGAACTATCAGAAAATAAATTTCTATTGTTTAAACCGTTCTGACTGTGGTACTTTATTATGACAGTCCCAGTAAACTATTAATTTCATCTCTTACTAAACAACTATACCTTCTATTAATACATCTATTAATTCTTGGGTGAAAGGAAAATATAAATTGAAATTAGACAATCCTAAAAGATGATAATTAAAACACTACAGAATATACTTAATATACTTAAAACAGGGATAAGAAAAATCTCATACTGGGAACCTTACCAATAAAAATGAAAGAACGGAACACTTGTTGAGTTAAATTCCCAACTCAAAATATAACAAACAAAAAAAATGAACAAAGTAAACTAAAGAAAGCATAAGGTATACAACATGATCTTAGAAAACTCAAAATCTACAAAGCAGCTAGTAGAAAATACATGACTTTAGTAAGGTCACAGGATTCAAGGGCAATACATAAAAGTCCACTAACTATATTTCCACATGCCAGCAATAAACAGAAACTGAAATTTTTAAAAAACCACTCCCATTTATAATCACATAAAAATGCTGAGGAATAAAATGTAACATAAGATACGCATGACATATTCAATGAAAACTATAAAACTCTGATGATAGAAATTAAAGATGATCTAATTAAATGAAGAAACATGCCATTATTCATGGATTGGATAGGCTCAATATTGTTGAGATGACAACTCTTCTCAAACTGAGCTACAATTCAGATTCATTGCAATTCCAATCAAAACCCTAACAAGCCTTTTTGAAAAAGGTGACAGGTTGACTTTAAAATTTATGTGGAAAGGCAAAGGACCTAGAAAAGCCAAAACAATCTTTACAAGAAAGAACAAGGTGGAGAGGACTTGCACTACCTGCATCAAACTTACTATGAAGCCACAGTGGTCAAGACAGTGTGATAGTCACATGAAGACGGACAAACAGATCAGTGCAATAGGACGGAGTCCAGAAACAGATACACTTAAATGGTCAACTGATTTTCAACAAAGAAACCAAAATAATTCAATAGAGGAAAAGACAGTCTTCAACAAATGATGCTGGAACAACAGGATATCTATATGGAAATAAAAAATGAATGTCTACCATCACCTCACACTACACAGAAATTAACATGAACTGGATCATAAAACCTAAGTGTAAGAAACAAAATATTAATCTTTTAGAAGAAAACAAAATAGAAATCTTTGTAACACAAGATTAGGCAAAGCTTTCTTAAAGAGAACACACAAAAGGGGTGGCTGGAGGGCTCAGTCCATAGAGCATGCAACTTGACCTCAGGGTCATGAGTTCAAATCTCATGTGGGGCATAAAGATCACTTAAATAAGTTTTTTAAAAATTAAAACACACACACTAGAAAAAAAATGATAAAATGGACTTCATCAAAATAAATTTTGCTTTCAATAGACACAATTAAAATAAACAAAGCAATCCACAGACTTAGAACATATCTGTCAAATATGTATCTGACAAAGGGCTTGTTGCAAAATGAAGACCTGTTACAACTGAATATGAAAATAATTTCCCAATTTTAAATATGGGCAAAATATTTGGATGAATACTTCAAAAAACCACATTACAAGATGCTAACCATCATTAGCCATTGGGGAAAATCAAATTAAGACCACAATGATATATTACTACACATCTGCTAGGGTTAAGTTAAAAAGACTGACAATAACAAATGTCAGTTAAGATGTGTGAATTATATGGAATTGTCATAGGGGAACTCTCATACGTTGCTACAGGAATACTTCTTTGTAAAACAGTTTAGCTATGTATGTTATAAAACAGTATTGCTATATGTCATCACTCAGAAATGTCATTCCTAGACATTTAACCAAGAGAAATAAAAATGTATGCCCAAAGACTTGTACATGAATGTTCATAGCAACATTAATCATAATAGCCCCAAACTAATAACAACCCAAATATCTGTCCATTAAAAGGAAAATGAATAAACAAATGTTACATCCATTCAATGGAATATTAATCAGCAATAGAAAGGAATGAACTACTGATATATGCAACAACATGGATAAATCTGGGGGTGCCTAAGGCTGGGCATCAGAGGCGAGGTCAACTGCAAAGAGACATGGGGAAACTTTTAGGGTAATTGAACTGTTCTATGCTTTTACTGTGGTGATGATTACAAAACTTTATACAATTACCAAAAGGCATCAAGCTGCACATTATTTAAATGGATGAATTTTATTTTATGTATGCTAAACACTAATAAAACTATAAAAACTTTTTAATGGCAGAAAAACACAGAAAGAAGAGAGTAGAAATTAATGAGGTAGGAAATAGAAAAAAAGTTGACTCCATAAATCAAATTCCTAATTTAAAAAATACTGAAATGTATGCTTAAAATGATTAAAATAGTGAATTCTGTTATGTATATTTTATCACAATAAAAAGAATAAAATCAACAAAGCACTAGCTGACTAGATTAACAAAGAGAGGAAGAAAGCACATATACAAATAAGAAATGGCCCAGGGAAAGTAAGCATTGAAACGGAACAAATTGAAAAATAAAAACTATTCTGCAGATCTCTATGCAGACAAATTTGAAAACCAAGATGAAATAATTTCATATGAAAACACAGATTATCAAAATTTATCCCAATAGAGACAGAGAGCTTTAACACAGTGTTTTTTATAAAATAAACAGATAATTATTCCAGAAGTTAAGGTTGGTTCAAGATTAAGAAATCCATTAACACACAATATTAATAGTATAAGAGAGGAAAAATTATGATTGTCCCCAGAGATGCTGAAAACCTTTGAAAATTTTCAACATCATGCCTATCATTTCTACTATAGTGTTTGCCAAATGATCTTTTCCTATTTCCATCATTCTTTCTACGTTTATTAGTTGGAATTCTCCTGAAAAGAGCTTTCCTTCTCTCTAAATATTATACATTATATCATCTGGACACACAGATTTTATTTTATCCTCTGGATTATAACCTTTTATTACAACTTATTTCTTTGCTCAAATTGTCTCATATTTGGCCACTGGGTTCTAAGATGAGTGGAAGAATGTATGATGAGAAAATTTACATAGTCTCAAAGTATTTCCCCATAAGATAATTATGTATCACAAAGAGAAAAAAAGTCATTTTATACTGGAAAAATCTGGCCAACACCACCTTAACCAAACAATCAAAGTGAACATCACCAGTAAGGGGACAAATAATATATCTCCTAATATAATGCACTGAGGACACATGACTTTGACTTTGGTATTATTTTTGCTAAAAATATATAACCTGAATTTAATCATAAAGAATTTAAGACAAACTCAAATTGAGGGACAAGCTACAAAATAACTGGTCAGCACTCTTCAAGGAAAGGCAATGTATGATTCTGGACTGGATCTTGGACCAGAAAAAGGATATCAGTAGGACAATTGGTAAAATTTGAATAAAGTCTATAGGTTTGATAACACTAATATTTATTTCCTGATTATATTAATGTTAGTATCTTAGCTTTGATTAATGTAATATGGTTATGTAAGATGTCAATCTTTAAAGATCTCGGTGAAGATCATGTGGGAATTTTACAATGTTTTGTTACCTCTGAAATTATTTCAAAATGAAGTTTAAAATATACACATGCATATATAACCTAATACTCTGAAGTTCCCTTCTGGCCAACTCTTCTGCCATCTGTGAAGCCCGCAATTTCTCTTCACACTGATCCTTTTCAGATTGCCTCCAGACATCATGTTCCACTTTCATTTTCTCTAAATCCGCTAATCTGTTCTCAAGTTCTATCCTAAAACAACAAATGATAATTATGTTACAACAACTAAAATGAGGATGATATGAGAGCAAAATATTTTCATTTGCAAGGAGACTGAACACAAAATAAGGTAATTAAGTACTTACTTTTCATCTTGTAATACCACAAGTTTTTGATAACCTTCTTCCTTGACAGCTTGTACTTTACGTATTAATTCACGATCCTTTTCTACTAGGAGAGCTTTGTGGTGTTCGACAGCTGACTTGAGAATTTCATTGTCTGACTGTAATCCTAGTATTTTTTTAAGGAAAAAGATATGCTGCATTCAGTGTTATTAAGCTGAAAAAATTGTAACAGCAAGCATCCATAAACTCGTAAGATAACTAAAAAAACGTAGAAAGTCTGTATATGTATTTTCAAAGATCTATACATTACTGATAAACCTTTCAAGAATGAAACTGACTAAAACTCAGAATTAACTATTCTGTCATTTTATTTAGCATACATATACAAATGTTTTAATAAAAGACTATATACATTTACTCACTTGACTCTTGAAAGTTGGGGACATCAACCCAGGGGATATCCAAAGAGATATAAATACTTATTTAACTTCTAAAAGGGTTTTGTAACCTTAGCCCCACAGACAGCACCATCATAAAGCTGGCTGGAAGTAGAGTGAATAAAATCACAGAACCCATCAAAACCTATCATTCTAGCAGATGTGTTATATATTTCCAATAGAAATATAAATTGGAGGGGCGCCTGAGTGGCTCAATCAGTTAAGTCGGGAGACTTCAGCTCAGGTCATGATCCCAGAGTCCTGGGATGAAGCAAGCCCCGCATCAGGCTCCCTGCTCAGTGGGGAGCCTGCTTCTCCCTCTCCGTCTGTCTCTCAGCTCATGCTCTCACTCTATCTCAAATAAATAAATAAAATCTTAAAAAAAAAAAAGAAATATAAATTGGAAACTTTCAAGTTTATCCAATTAATTCACAAATTTTCCTTATATTGATATGGCAAGTATTTTGCAGATGAAATAACTAAAACAAATTCATATCTAACACAAAATTTAAAAAGAATGCATAACTAGATCATAAACTCTTTAAGTCCCTTGAAAAGTTACTCCCTAACTCTACAGAAATTCATGAACCAACATCAAGTAGAGATTAATGAGGAAAACAGTAATTCATCATAAGCTCTGTCTGAAACTATAGAGGCCAGTTCAACTAAAGACCAACTTGAGGACAGTTACAGGCCAAGGTAGCTTAAACACCTCTTAAGAAAAATCAGAAATAATATAATTCTGAGGAATCTTGATGAGAAGGACATTCTAAGACTACACTGGAGCTTAAAAATAGGCCCAATAACTAGCTTACTGTCTACATAAAAATAAAAACTGGGCTGGGGATCCACCTATCTTCCTTACATTCTTAAGTCTTAAAATGGTCTGGGACTAATAATCACATGATCTAAATAGATTTACAACTTAAACTCAGAAAGTATGAAATCCCATTTGTAAAGTTTCACTTAATTTATGTATTAATCAAATAACTGACATAAACATAAGACTGATTTTTTTTAAAAGACACATCACAAAATGAACATTCAACACAAATAAAAACAATCCATATGTGCTCTCAAATTAAAATTCAATTAGGCTGAAAATCTGGAAATAAAAATTCAGTTTGATCTATTTTAATAATTTGTTTGTATGTAAAAATAATAGTAAAAGGCATGGGAAATCATATATTACCATCCAGTTCACTCTGAATCTTATTCCTTTCTCTTTCTAGCTCACTCTTAGCTCTTGCTGCCTCCAGTTTGATGTCTGTTATTTCTAGTTTGTTTGAATGTTTAAGTTCTTTTACCTGTTGATAATTAGAAATTGAAATTACTATAGGTCATTTTCTTGCCATTAACTGCTTCCCAAAAACATCAGTAGAAACGAGAAAACGTTTTGGTAGCAGAGTACACAGTGTACGTACCTTCCAATGGGAAGGTGCTTCAGGGCCTTGAACAGTATTTGGTACCAAGAAAACAGCCTTTTCCTAACAGAATTATTTCTTTACAAATATCTGGCTGGGATCATCTGGCTTAATCTTGCCTTAAAAGGCTTAACTGCAAGTACCTAAAATCTAATAGTCAACGACGGACACATCTTCAGAGAAAAAAACCTAAAACTTTCCTTTAAAAAAAAGTGCTGGTGACGAGAAGGCATTCTAGATATAAGGAACAGCACATAAACTGTTATAAAGGCATAACATCACACAGTATGCTTGCAAGAAACAATGAGCAATGTGTTAGAACAGAAGAAGGCAGGAAATCTGTAGACTGGCAGAGAAGAAACTTTATATGCCGTACAAAAGGGCTGCGTATCCTGTTAGCTACTGAAGGGGGCACAATCAACTCTGTCTCAGAAAATTAACTCTAATTGCAAATTAAGATTAAGAAACTGAAGGTAAAGACACCAATTAAGAGGCAAAGGATTGATCAAGTGGGCAAGAAGGAAGAATCAATTGAATTGTGTGTTTGTGTGTGTGTGTGTGTGTGTGTGTGTGTGTGTGTGTGTGTGTGTATGGATGTGGTGGCAGTGAGAAGAATGAGTATAAAACATATAAATCTAATTTAAACTTTTACTGCCCAAACCTGATTCTTTTAAAGCCCTGAGTGAATGGAAACAATTGTCAATATTTTCCATATAATTAACCAATCACATAACTAATTTTGTTTTCTCTGAGACAAGTTGAATGATTCTAGTTCATGAGTAGTATTCATTCATTGGATAAATATTTACTGAGTACCTATTATGTGCCCTAGCACAGTTGTAGGAGCTGGGGTTACAGAAGCAAACAAAAAAGCTTAATCTCTCCAGTTATCTGCACTACCCTCTAATATTTTTCATTTCCTTTCCTTTTGGTAAGGTGCTTCTAAAGTTAGTCCTACAGTTAATCCTCTAATGAGGATTTAACCAATACAGATATAAAAATTAGACAAACCTCTACTCTGATATACTGATGCATAAAACTATGAAATTAGAGTAGAAAACCACAAATATATACAAGCCAAATATGTAAAATGTAAGATGATGGGAACAGGAGGGCAGAGGATAATATCCTTGAGTGCCACGGAAATCTATAAAAACTGAAGATGGGAGTTAGAAACAAATGAGAAAGAGCTCCTAGAGCCAAAGAGGAGAAGGATGAGAAATAGAAGTGTCTTACCAAAAGAGGTTCCCATCTATGAAAGGTCTTAAAAACACTGTAAGGAAGGGTTTGGTCAAAATCCTCACTTAAAGAACAACAGAAAGCAAGTACTCTGCTTCCTTTGTACTGCTAACCACATTTTAAGATGCATGCTTTGCTTCCAAATAAACAGAGAATTTTTAAATGACACTACAGAGGCTGCTGGGACGATGGCGGAGCAGGACGACCCTGGGCTCACCTCTTGCCGTGTGGCCGCCTGGAGAGCACCCACGTTGGCAATAAATAACCCAGAAAGCAACCGGAAAACTGGCAGAACAGACTCCCCGCAGCCCAGCATAGACAAGAGGCCACAGCAAAGCAGATCCACCCCCTCCGATCGCTCTTGGCAAGATCCCAACAAAGAGGTGCCACAAGCCTGGCAGTGTGTGCGCGGCCCAGACAAGGGCCAGCACCACTCCAAAGTGAGTCCTGCCCCAGGGAGAGGGGAAGATAACCACACGCCAGTCCGACTGTGACCCCAGCAGTGCGTTGGGGGCAGGCAGATGGTCTGACTGCAGGCCCCACCCACCAACAAAAGCTTCTCCGGGGACGACACAGAGAAAGTGCCTGTAGTTTGGTACCACTGCATCTCTGGCCAACACCTGGTCTGACTCAACTCGAGCCCAAGGCAGCCCCAGACTGGCTCACTAACACTACAGGCACCAGACTCTGCCCACAACAGACAGAGAGCCATCGCAGGCCGGACTGAAGGCAAACACATCCCAGCCACAATGGTAGGACACCCTTGTAGCAACACACGTATAGGAGACACCCCCTGAAGCACCATTTTCTGATGAAAAGGAGACATTGCGCTGCAGGACCTCTTCTTCATAAAGCCATGACTTTCAAGTGCGGGAGACATAGCTGACTTTCCTAACACAGAAAAACAGATACAGCAACAGACAGAATGAGGAGAGAGAGGAATATGTCCCACAGGAAAGAGTGGAACAAAATCAGAGCAGGAGACCTAAGCAAAATGGAGAAAAGTAATATGTCTGATAGAGAATTTAAAGTAATGCTCATAAAGATACTCACTGGACTTGAGAAAAGAGTGCAGAACCTTCATGAGACCCTCCACCAAGAGATAGGAGACGTAAAAAAGAACCAATTAGAGCTACTGGACTCAATAAATGGAAATAAAAATAAACCACCTGGAATAAGTAGCAAACAAGAGGAAGAAGAACGGAGCAGCCACCTGGAGGACAGAGTAATGGAAAGTAATCAAGCTAAGCAGATGAGAGGGGGAAAAAAAATACGCAAAATGACAATAGACCCAGGGAACTCAGCAACACTGTCAAGCATAACAGTTGCATGATAGGGCTCCCAGAAGAAGAAGAGTGAGAAAAGGGGGCAGAAGATCTGTCTGAAGAAATAATAGTTCAAAACTTCCTGAATCTGGGGAATGAAAAAGAAATCCAGAATCCAGGAGGCACAGAGAACCCCCAACAAAACCAACCCAAAGAGGTCTGTACCAAGACACAAAGTAAATAAGATGGCCAAAAGTAGTGATAAAGAGAGAATTTTAAAAGCAGCAAGAGAAAGGAAAGCAGTGACATACAAAGGAAACCCCATACGGCTATCAGTGGGTTTTTTAGCAGAAACTCTGCAGGCCAGAAGGCAGCAGCATGATCAATTCCAACTGCTAAAAGGAAAAAAATCTACAGCCAAGAATACTCTATCCAGCAAGACTTTCATTTAGAATAGAAAGAGAGATGGATGTTCCAGAAAAACAAAAGTTAGAAGCAAAACCAGCCATGTCCCTGTCACACATGATGCCATCAGCCTGTGGGTCCCAAATCCACAGTCCAGCCGCCCTCCTGCCCAAGTCAGCATGCACAGCCTGCCACCTGCTCAATGCCAAGTCAGCATGCACGGCCTGCCACCTGCTCAATGCCAAGTCAACATGCCTTCACCTCAGACTGCCAAGGGCTCAAACTGGCACTCTTCCCCTCAAATTCCAGCCCCTGTGCTCAAGTTTGTGCACAAAAGTGGGCATAATTATAACAACAGAATGAAGCAACCCAAACAGTGACACTATTTCTGTGGAATATAGAATGGATAAAAGGAGTGTGCTAGGCTGAGAACATCACCAACAAGCACATCAAAGAATAATAAATACATACAGCATGATTCTGGTTAGTAAAAAAAACAAACAAACCTGGGAAGAATAAAACAAGATGAAATCAGAGAGGGAGAAAAACCATAAGAGACTCTTTACTATAGGAAAGAAACTGAGGGTTGCTGGAGGGGAGGCAGGTGGGGGGGATGGGGTAACTGGGTGATGGGCATGAAGGAGGGCAAGTGATGGAATGCACTGGATGTTCTATGCAACTGATGAATCACTGAACTCTACTTCTGAAACTAATACACTATATGTTAATTAACTGAATTTAAGTTAAAAAAAGGAACCCCCCAAAAATAAAAAAAATAAATGACACTACATAAAATGAATACCTTGTGCTGACACCAGGTCTGCAGTTTTAAACATTTCTGAAAGCAAGTCTCACAGAACAATGTTTAACTACATGAAAGCAGCTAAGACACTGTATTTATTTTAACAATTTAAACTTTCTGTGGATTGGACTCTACAACATTATAATTTCATGGACAGACAGAATTTACACTATAAATGTTTAAAATTTTGAAGAAATACAACTACAATGAAAATCCAATTTCTATAACAAATGAAATTACAACCTGCTATTATATACTAGCTGTAAAAGGTTAAGAATGACATAACAGTTAATTAAACCACACCGTAGCTTCTCTAAATATGAGGTGGAAAATTATAGCCATCTTATTTTGCAAAAACTTGATTCATTTCAACAAGAACTACGAAATATATAAAAAACCTATTTCTTGATTCATTTCACTCTGAGAAAATATTTTTTTCAACTCAAATATAATTATTGAAACTGGAAGAACAGTAGACAGGAAGTCAAACAAGTAAAGTCTGACTTCAGGCCTACTTTTATTATTAAACTAGTGGTATATGCTCAAAGTGCTTGTCCTTGCTGCATTTGAATTTACTCATCTATGGACCTATAGGAGTTTCAGTTTTCCTATAGTGCCACATTTCTATAATCCTAAAATAATGAATGCACTTATAGTAATTGCTAACTTCCTAAAAATATATTAAAAGGATTTATTAAAAATGAAAAACTTATAGGAATTTTATTACTAAACTATGACAAACAGCAGCACTTTCTATAAGTAATCTGAAGCAAATCCCAACTAGTCACAATAAACTTTTCTTTCTGACTCTAGATCCCTGGTTCTTCACTTTTTTTGTGATCAGGCATCAAAATTCCTAGGAGTACTAGAGATCATTTCCTAAATAAAATGTATAATGTTAAAATGCTGCATGGGCCAAGATACTCTGTTTCTCTTTTGTTTTTTTTCACAATACATTTTCCATTTTGGTCTTCATGTTGCCAATTTGCTTTATGCTTTTGACATAACAGAAGCAAGTATCCAGAAAGTATTATCTAGTGCTACTAAATTTAAGAAACATAAAAAAATAGCAACATCAGGCATTTTACAAGGGTTCAGAATCTGTTAAATTACACATACACATATACACAGACATGCAAGAAAACAATATATGTAAGCAAGAACGGTAAATATAGTTGAAAAAAATGTATTACTCAAGAAGCTCTTGACACAAATTCCGAAGAGACAGTACTTAAAATCTGATCTTTTTCAAAGATCTGAGATGGTATGACCTCATTAATGTAGCTAATAAGGATATCTGTGTGGGAAGATTTCCTTAAACTGCATATTTTATTGGAGTTTTAAAGATCAAACACTTCCTGAGATACCTAGAATTTATCTCACTGAATGTTAAGTATCTTTTTTTTTTAAAGATTTTATTTATTTGACAGACAGAGACACAGCGAGAGAGGGAATGCAAGCAGGGGGAGTGGGAAAGGGAGAAGCAGGCTTCCCACTGAGCAGGGAGCCCAACGCGGGGCTCAATCCCAAGACCCTAGGATCATGACCTGAGCTGAAGGCAGACACTTAACGACTGAGCCACCCTGACGCCCCGAATGTTAAATATCTTTAAGGTCACCATTTTCAGGCCATCTTTGGTAATACTTTTTAATCCAAGACACTGCGAATCACACTGACATAATTCTGTTCAAAAACATGACAAACATTTACAAATTTGAATAACTTAGACAAATACATCCCAGGTGTTCCTTTGCATTGCAAACAACCATTTGCTAGAGGTGCAAAATATTGATGAAAATTTCAAGTTGAAAAGAAAACTGTGACAATCATGTTTGAAATATCATTTTAAAATTTATCCTTCCAATGAAATCTTTTTACATGCATGATTCCAAATGAAAACTTGGTTTGTCTAAAGCTGAAGGGTGGTTTTTAATATAGCCATTTATACGCAAAAAACACAAGTGTGCCCTTAAAATTAGGTAACTCTTAGCAATACCAGAATTGGAAGAAAGGCATGAGAAAACTTCCTGAATTTACTTCTTTGTATACTCTATTTCTTTGTATACTCTATCATTGTAGGAATCAATATATCTCTCTCAATATGTATACATTTGAATGTATAAATAATCTACTTAGGTTAATCAGGAAGCAATTAAATTATTAATTTATTTTCCAATAGGACTTATACAATCCTAGTAGGCTGGATGAGCTGCTAGGGATGAGCTAGAACAATGTTTCATTTCATCTATGAGGAAACTCGCTTAAAGTTCTACACACAGTTATTGATATAGTGAGGAATGGAACCAGTCAATGGGCTCAAAGGCCCGTGTCTTTATGTATATCATTTTCTCATTTAAGGATAACACCAGTGTAAAATTGTTGCCATTATTTTCATCATAGGCTACTATTTACTGCATTCAATACCATCTTTAATCTTAGAAAAATCCTGTAAGAGATAGGCATTGTTCCCACTTAAAAGTTAAGCAAATCAGAAGTCACACAGGTAATGAGTGAGATAAATGAGTTAGGATCAAAAGACAGATTTATCTGATTCAAAGTCCATGGACTTTTCTATTGTACTTCATTACCTCTTCCAAGATGACAGTTTTTAATTTCTAAATACATCTTAGTCTCAACCTATAAGCTAGACTAGAAAGACATTTGAATAAAAGTATTTCAACAATTAAAAATTTTACCTAATTTTCACTTATTCTTTCTAGTGCCAGCCATGCCTAATGAATTAAATGATACAATGGCTATAAAACCACTTTGTAAACTGTAAAGTATAAAAATTCAAACAAAAATTTTTAATGTCACTAGAGACAGAATCTGCAAACATAAAAGAGTATGTGTTTGCCATGGAAAAAACTGGGTAGACTATCTCCCAAGGGTGGCATCTAATACATATAGTATTATGGCTTATGGCCTTTCTGACACAGAAATCACCACTCTCAAGGCTGCACTCACATTAATAAAGTTTACAAAGATTGGTCTATAAAATCAGAACTGTGAGAAAACTATAATGGAAAATAGAACACTCTAAGTCTGAAGGACAAGTGTGCATTCTCTCCCTGTAGACAAAATTATATGGGAAGTCAAATAACAGAAAGTTCTTTGGTGATCATACAATCAGAAAAATGGAATGAAATGAAATGATAGTTTCATGCCCACCATTTAAAACAGATTGGTCTATTCCTTCCCACAGTAAGAATTATCTCTCCAATGGGACAGAATACTTACATTCTACTGACTAAAACTCTATCTTCTCTCTGTCATGAACACTGCCTAAGTCCTCTCAAGTGATTCCTTGGCCAAGGAATTTATGATGACTACATTACTCCTTTAGATAAGTTCATTTCTACTATGCTACAGTAAGTTCCTTCTGGTCCGGGAGCCGTTTCGTTTTTCAAGGTAATTTTACATAACTCTGCTCTGATGGAAAATAATTGATTTCACTGATTCAGAAATGAGACTTATTTCCAAGATCTTGAAGATGCCCCCAAGTACTATCATTAATAATAGCTAATATTTGGGTAATTATCTACTAGACCTTATGCAAAGTGCTTTATGCATAATATTGCATTTAATTTTGCCATAATCTATAAGGTAGATATTAGTCTGCTTATAAAGAAAAACACTGAAATTTTCAGAGAGAAAGTAAATTGCTCAAGGTCATACAGCTACTAAGGAAAATAAATGGAATTTGAATCTGGTCTGTCTTGACTCCAGAGAGGATACTGTTATTCACTACAGTTTTCTACAAAATACTTTTATCATTGCTCTATTTCTGGTTACCAGGTTCCTTATATAGAGAGCATGTGAGGGGAAAAACTGTAAGTTCCTGAGAAAACTTGGTATATAAAAGATGCGCAAACCATTATATATATTCTTTTAAAAATAACATAGGAGCACTTGGGTGGCTTAGTTGCTTAAGTTGACAGCTCTGGATTTCAGCTCAGATCATGATCTTGGGGGTCCTGGGATCGAGCCCTGTGTCGGGCTCCATGCTCAGCGGGGAGTCTGCTGGAGATTCTCTCTCCCCCTCTTTCTCACACACACACTCTTTCTCTAAAATAAATAATCTTTAAAAAATAAAAATAACAAAAATGCACACCATGCTGCTATTAAAATACTCATTTAACAAGTATTTATAGAATGCCTGTTGTGTGTCAGCACTGTTGCAGGAGATGGAGGTACAAGGAGTAATAAAAGCAATGTCCCTGTTCTTCAAGCTTCTATTTGGTTGAAGGAAAAGGGGGTGGGAGAGAAGAGAAGAGACAAAAAATAAACAAATATAAATATATCAAATGCTGTTAAGAGCTATGAAGAAAAATAAAGCAGGTAAAGAAGACAGTGAGGCAGGAAGAGGGAAGATGGTATTTTACATGTGCAAACAAGGAAGGCCTCTCTGAAAAAATAGGCGAGAAAGCAAGCTATATGGACCTGAGGGAAGACCACGTCAGCAGGCAAATACAAAGGCCCTGGATAGAAGTAAGTAAGAGTGAGAAGAAGGCCAGTAAGGCTGGAGCAAAGTGAACAGGAGGGAAAATGGACTGTGATGGCTCTGGAAAGACTGCAGAGGCCAGATCATGCAGAGCTCTGAATAGGTAGAGAGTTAGGAGGCTACTGTAAAAATTGAACCTAGAGAAATCATGGCCTGGACAAGAGTAGTCACAGTAAAGGTAGTAAAAACTGGTCAGTTTCTATATATATTTGGAAGGCAGAATGATAGGATAAAAAAAGATTTCAATATAGAGAAGTAAACAATTTGAATACAAAATTTCTTTGTCATTATGCGGTATCAAGCATTCTAAAGAATGAAGTAGAAACATTAAGATGACTTACTTTACTGGTCAACGTATTTATTTCCCGCTCAGCTTTATGCAATTTACTGATTAGAACAGTATTTTGTTCACTGCTTGATTGTAGCTCTTTTTCCAAGCGTTCAGCCTGTAGTTTAGCTGACTGTTTTTCAGCCTTGATTAAAAAAATATTTTTAAATTTATTCATAATTTTTATAATTATATTAAAATTTTTATTATTTTAATATATGTATAATCATACTACCCCAAATTATTCAAAACCTCAACAATATTAACAAAGCAACAAGAGTTTTCTCAAAGTAACTGGTAGAATTCAAATGAAAGATATTTGCTCCAAGAAATATGCAACAGTCTCTGGAGTATCAACAGCCACCAATGAAACAAAACATATACACTTCTCTCATGAAAGAGAGTACCTAATGCACTCACTTGATACCTATTTACTCTTATTGTTGACACAATTCGAGCAAACATTTTTGAGGGTTTCAATGCACAACAGAAACACAAAAGTATATAAAAAAAACCATTTGAAAAATAACCGAATAAATGAGCAGCTTATAAAAAAAAAAAAAAAGAAATACAAAAGAAAGTAGAAGAAAGGGTTCATTTGTAGTAATAAGTGAGAACTAAAAATGTGAAAATCAAGGCAGATTAAAAAATAAAAACAAGAGATTTAAAAATTCAAAATCTTCAACTAATCTGGAGACTCTGGAAGTATGAAAAAAGAGCTCAATAGCTCTTGAATCCAACATATCATAAAGATTTCTTAAGTCTGTAAATTGTCGAGAAAATTTCTGGTTGGTAACACTCATAGTACTCTTTAATTAGAAAGCGAAAACTAAATGCTTTTTAAAAAATAAATTTCTACTCAAAATAGTTAAAATTAAAATGTTTGACATTTAAGAATAAGTACAGTTTTATAAGATCTCATTTCCTATATATTTTAAATATGATTAAGAATATATTCAACAAATAATTCAGAAAAAAGCTATTTTCCTCACATATAAAATGATACTCTTTGGGCACAATGACAGCCAAAAAAATCAAAGAAAGAAATGCTTCTTTTCATTTCATCTGACAAATGATAAAATTAACCACAGGCTATTTTGAAAATGTCACAAATGAACCTCCCACCTTTTGTAATCATTCAACTTGTCCTGAAAATCATCACTCTAAATGACCTCAATGAGGGTCATATGCTATGTTCAATTGCAATCATCCCACTTATTCTGTCACTATAAATACATTAAGGATGGAAGGGTAGCAACATAATAGTATCATTTTGAACTGCCTCATGTCTAAGGTCCAATGATACACCTTTACTTCAGGAAACCAGTAAATACTATCAGAGGTTTCATCCAAAAATAAAAAGGTGACTTCTATGCTTCATAACATATCAATGTGCTCCCTGTACCCAGTTTGTTAGCAAAAAAAAAAAAAATCATTATTTTGCTAGGTGCCCACTAATTTCCCTACAACTCTAATCATTTCACAACTATTCTAACACACACACACACACACACACAAACACACACACACTCTTTCTTTCCCTCTCTCTCTCTCTGGATTGCTCAAAATAAATCAAAACAATTAAACTGGTATATCTGTTACATGTTAGACACTAAGAACTAGGAAAAGTAAGCACACCTAAACAAGATGGTTAAGGGATGCAGAATATGCCACAGTGGAATAAAAATTATTTTGAGCTGAAGGCATTTGATAATCAATAGACACAGGAAAAGGTTTTTCCCTGAACTTCTCTTAGCTGCCAAAAAGCAGAGCCTCCAAAAAGAATTATAAATCCCCTTCCCTGGGGTTTCATAGCCAGTGAAGACTGACCCCTATCAAGGGAGAAATCAGTACCAGGATAAGAAATCACCTACACATTGTCGCAAAACTGTCATATCTCCCATCTATTTAACTAAAGGCCCATTTATCTTTCCTAAAAGTCATTTGTGTTCCCGTAAGTACCCTTTCTCCCCCCTCCCTTCCCTATTAAGGTGGTATGTAAGCCCCAAATTCTAACTACCACTTGTAGCCACATTTTTCTGTGTACACAAACACGAATAAATATTTTTTCTCTTGTTAATCTGTCTTTTGTCAGTTTAATTCACAACTTCCAACCTGTGAACCTATAGGATAAAGAAAAAGGTTTTCAGAGAATACCTCTAGGAGTACCAGCCTACCTCTCATCTTTCTCTAATGAACTCAGGGAAATATTTCACTAAAGGCTTATATACATTAGCACCAAGTTGAATTGTATTACTCCGGCAAGAAACTATCATAAGATATTAAAGTATGGTATTTTTATTTAAACAAGACTTATGATTTTAATATCTTGAATCCCATGTAAGGAAATAACTATCTAGGAAGAAACTTTTTTCTGGTTTGAGAGGACTTTAATCCTCAGAGCTCAAATTTTGAAAATTTGGCATCTTCTACTTTCTGGCACTTCAAGGGTTAATTCATTCTCCCAAAGAATAATTAATCCCTTTGTAAATATGGCAGCATAGCTACTGCTTATGAATCAATAGTTTTCTTCTTTACAAAAAGAATATATACTCTTAGGACTCTACAAATGCGTCAGCATTAGATTGGTGAGCATACATTTATGCTCTAAAAATCAAAGGCTTGTCAATCTTAAAAAAGCATGCCATACTCTACTGGGAAGCAATTAAAATCTTACCTCCAGGGATCTGACTGTAGCCTGCATCTCAGCCAACTGCCGCACCTGAATTCTTTGGGCATTTTCTACCTGAGCACCAGAATTCTCTTTTTCAGCCCTTAATTCTGCTACTTCAGCCTCTAAACCTTTTAATTTCTGACTCAAATGAACTTTCTCTCGAACAAGTTGCTCCATTTGTTTGCTTTTTCTTGGGGGATCAACCTTAAGCAGTTGATTATGTAGTTCTTCTTTATCTTTCTCCAGGCTTGCAATCTAATAATAATTTGAAAGAAAGCACAGAACCTTAAATTATTGAATTTTCAGTCATGAATATGCTTTTGTACAAGTCAGTAAATTAAAATTAAAAATTACACAATATAAAAAGAAAGCTCAGGTGGTGAAATCAAGTACAAAAGAAAAAATCCTAAAATATCACGTTCTTCATTCTGCACTCAGCATGACTCAAATGTGAGGGCAAGGACCTTGGCCTATTTTCCTTCTATCTCCCCATGGTGTCTAAAACGGGGTTTTATCAGTTGCTGACTAAAATTCAAAATTATAAATAATACTAGAAAAACAATTAAAAATGTGTCAAGTATTTTACAATTCATCAGAACATTATAGGGGTTTATGCAAGATCAATATGCTGATTGCTGCTAAGCTTTTCCTCATGTGCCAATAATTCTTGAGCTATGTCTATACTAATAAAATTATCTATTCCAAGTCACTTAATTCACAAAAAAGCTGCTTGTCTGTGTAAATAACTACAAATGTGACTGATGAGAGTTTTTAAATGATAGCTGGGAGTTTATTAAGACCCTACTTGCACTGATGGCCTCATTCTTACTTCTTAGATTCAAAAAGAACTAAAAATCATTACTCCAGGGTACGTGGAAGTCACGGGGGAACTTGATGAGGAGAAACACCAGCAACCTTCTCATGCGTGCCAACCACCACTCCCGGATCCCACATGCCTCCAAATCAGTGAGTTTCAAACTGCTTCCTAACCTCAGGGGCACTCCGGAGGACCCTCACCCCTAGGAATGAGAGGGCCAAGTTATCAGGGTAAAACTCTTCCTTTCCCTTTCCTGATCTCCCCAACCACCACCATATCTTAGCTAACCAGAGCACCTCCTCTTGTTAGTCTCTTTTTACATAAGGGGTTTCTTCATATGATTCAACTTAAAGGATTCAGCTGTTTGAAGAAAAAAAATAAAAAAGAGAAAAATGAAACAACAAGAAAACAAAAACCCACTGCTCTTAAAAACTAGCCAGGATGAGCTTAGAAGGATCACTCTAAGCCAAATGGACTTTAAGTAATGCTCTGCAACCTAGGCAAAAGTGACCCAAGAGATGAATGATGGCTTACATTGCTATAAATGAATCTAAGGGTGAGACCTCCAGCCCAGTACAGAATGTTTTCCTCTTCTGTAAAATGAGAGCTTAGACTGGAAACCCTCATAACTCTTTTTCAGTTTTAACATGTAGTGGTTCCAGTTTGGTTTTAGACATGTTGAAATAAAGATGTCAATGGGAACGGTAGAGCTATCTAGCAGGCAAATATCATTTTTTTCCAGAAAATAAAATTCATTATAGGAGGCAGCTGTAAAAGTCAGTGTCAAGCCCAACTAATTAGTGTCTCTTTCCTATTTTTCCTCCCATTCTTTATATGTAAACATTAGCCCCTAGGTTTGGTCCCTGAATACCTTTCCCCCTCCATATTCTGTTTCCTTCAGCTAGCTGTGTGACTTTGTGCAAGTTACTTTTTCACTTTGGCACAAGTTAAAATGAAGGTCTTAGGCTGGGTATCTTTAAAATACCATTTAGCTTTTTGCATAAGGTAACTCAAACACAGTTTAATGTGCTATATTAGAGGTGTGGTGGCTCATCTAGGTCAGAAGCCCATGTGTAACTCAAGTTCAGACAATGGTGCCCTGTTTTGAGTACAAAGGAGTACAAAGGACCAAATGCTGAGCTAAGTGCACTAGACATAAAATTGCATTTACTAACAATCATTTCTCTTGTCCTCTTCACTTTACATATGGGGTCAGACAGCTAATGTTCTTCATCAGCATGTTTCCTATATTACTGCTCTCTCCGGTAGTTTTGAGAGCCATCTGCGTGACAGCTGGAGTGGTAGCTGAAACTATGGTCAGAGCTGGCTAATGGCATAATGAGGATTAGATTCCACATTTATAACTCCCCAACTAGAGCTCACCATCAAATCATTCTTACAAAATCTGGTGATTGCTGCCTTCTAATTTCTCTGTTTACTCATTCATGTAACAAATACTGAGTACTTATTATGTACCCAGCACTGTTCTAGGTAGTAAGGATACATTACAGAACCTAGCCGACAAGCAAATAATCACAAAACTTGTGCTATCCAAGAACTTCTATTTAAACACTACTATGACACTGCTCTCGTCCCAGGCATCAGGACACAGATCTCGGACATCCTCAGCTCTTCCCTCTTCCTCCACTCTCAATCTGATTCACACGCAATCTTCCTTGATACCCGTAATTTGTTGTACTCTCAATCCTTGCTCTAAATTTCCCAAAGGCTTTGTCTGAATTTCTACTTTATGACATTTAGCCAAATTTGCCTGTATTACAGTTACCTCTACATTTACTTTATTCTCTTCTTGAATATAAGCTTACTTGACAGGAAACATGATTTATTAACCAATTTTACTTTTAAAAGATTGTGAAGTAAAGAAAACAACAGAAACAAGAAACAAATCCCGAACTAGGAATAGTTGCTGTTTATCTTCTTTTCAAAGGATGGGCGTACCATTCTAACTCCCCAGGCACACAAAAGGACAAAGTGGTATATGTAATTGCTTCATCCATCTCTGTTTTTATTATCTTTAGGATGCAGCATATAGAAATGGTTAAGGGTACAGGCTCTGGAATCAAACAGCCTAACTTGTCGTTGTTGCTTTTAATATTTTAAAGAATTTCTCTACTGTCTTTGGGCTTATATTTCCAAAAGGAAGTCTGTTGTCGTTCTTACCTTTGTTCTTCTGTAGAAAATAACTTTTTTCTGTTTATCTTGATTTATTTGAGAGAGAGAGAGAGAGAGAGTGCACAAGCAGGAGGGGCAGAGGGAGAGGGAGAGAAAAAGCTCAAGCAGACTCCAGCTGAGCGAGGAGGCCGACGTGGGCTCGATCTCACGATCCTGAGATCATGACCTCAGCTGAAACCAAGAGTTGGATGCTTAACTGACTGCACCACCTAGGCGCCCCCCCTTTTTAATTAAACTTTATTTTTCGATGATGGTAGGTTCATATGCAATTGTAAAAAATAATTTAAAGAGTTTCTGTGTACGCTTTGTCCAGTTTCCCCACCTGGTAACATCCCTCTCCTCTTCTATTTTCTGAAAGACACTGTATAGAACTGGTTTTCATTCCTCTTTAAACACTTCATAGAATTCTCCAGTGACACCATTCTTTGGTCAGTTTTTCAATATGAATTCAGTTTTCTTAATAGTTATATGGCTATTCATATGATTTATTTCATATGGGGTGAGTTACAGTAGTATCTGCCTTTTGATCCATTTCATCTATGTTTGACAAATTTGTTTGGGTGGAGTTGTTTACCAGATTTCCTCATTACCCTTTTGATGTCTGCAAGATCTGTAGTGATATTCTGTTTCATTCCTGATATAGGTAATCTGTGTCTTCCCTCTTTTTTGGCAGTCTTGCTAGAGGTTTGTCAACTTTATTAATCCTTTCAAAGGATAGCTCTTTGCTTCACTGATTTTCTCTACTGTTTTTTCTGTTTTCAATTTCATTGTTTCTACTCTTATCTTTCTTCTTTCCTTCCCTCTCCTTACTTTGTATTTATTTTGATCCTCTTTTTCTAGGTTCTTAAGGTGGGAGCTTAGAGTACTAATTTGATATTTTTCTCTTTTCTAATGAATACATTTAATGCCATACATTTTCTCTCAGCACTGCTTCAGCTGTATCCTGAATATTTTAACATGTTACATTTTCATTCAGGCTAATGAATTTTTCAAAATTATTTTTGATTAATATGTTTTCATTGAAATTTCCTCTGACTCATGAATTATTTGAGGTGTGTCATTTCATTTCCAATTTGAGGATTTCTCTACTATCTTTCTGAGACTGATTTCTAGTTTGATTCTGTTGTGGTTAGAGAACTCACCCTGTATAATCTCAATTTTTATAAATCTGTAGAGGTTTATTTTATGGCCCAGGATATAGCCTGTTTTAGTATATATTCAGTAGCCACTTGAAAAAAATATGTTTAGGTACTCTTGTTGGGTTGAGTGTTCTATAAATATCAATTAGATTCTTCTGGTTAATGGTGTTGTTGAGTTCTAGATCCTTCCTGATTTTCTAATTTTTCTATCAATTGTTGAAACAAGGGTGTCAAATCTCCAACAATAATTATGGATTCATCTATCTCTCCTCTTAGTTCTATCAGTTTTTGCTTCACATATTTTGCAGTTCTGTTTGGTTCATACACATTTAGTATTCTTGTCTTCATGATGGACTGACATTTTTTATAATTATATAATCTTCTACCTCTGGCATTTTTCTTTGCTCTGAAGTCTACTTTATTTGATATTAATATAGCCACTTCTACTTCTTTTAACTAACATTTGAATATTTACAAGACATATCTTTTTCTAACCTTTTACTAACTACCTATATTGTTATATTTGAGGTTTCCTGTGGACAGCATACAGTTTTCTTTTTTTTTTTTTTAATGTGACATTAGGAATCTTTTATTGAGAGAAAGCAAAGAGTGGCCTGAAAATACCACAGCATGAAGGCAAGCTGAGGAAACCAATCTGATTTCTTTTTCCTCTATGGCGGCCCAAATGATGAACTAAAGACACTCCAAGATTACTATGTATACTTAAGGCAATTTAAAAAGCAAGGTCTTAACCAAAAAGCCTATACCTGGCATTCAAAAAAATACTTACATTTTTTGGATAGACTAAAAGACCTAATTGGCTACAGAAAATCTGTACAGCAGGGACCTGTTTTCAGCAGGTAAACCTATATACAAGTAAGAATCTCTTACTCTTGTAACATTGTCCTGTTTTAAGAGAAAATGTTTAATTCCCATGCCCTGCAGAGGTCTCTATGACCCCAGAGAAGCACACACCTATCTCTATTAGAAAACTATTTACACTGCACTACAAATACACATACAACACACATCTGCCCCCTCCTATTTCCCAAATAGGCTGTGAATGCCTTCTGTGAGGGGTTATGGCTCATTCATTTTTATGTCTA